CATATTCCCAGGGTTTATTACAGGTAAAATGTTTGTCTAGGTATGAGCTGACAGGGTGAAGAAAGCTTTTTTAATGATGTTATCTAATATTTACATAGTGAAATCCTATACTGTTACATCGACTCTTCAATTGGTAGCTCTGTGCTCTATATAAAATACGTAATAAACGTAAAGATTCCATCCACAAAATTGCAGAAATTTTACAGTTTTTCTTAAATAACATCAGTCTCTTTTCTCATAATGCAAATACTGAGTTTTCCAACTTTCTCTGATTTGACACGTACCTTGTTTTATAAATATCTTTGACCTTTTCAAAAATGTTTTTGAACCTCAACCATATATTATCAATTATATTAAATACTTTGGAAGATCTTGATATGACAATTCATGACAAATTGGGCAGAGAGGAAAATGGTGTATGAAGAACAGGATATTTACCAATTAGTGTACCCCTTTTTAAGGTCATTGGTAAATTTTGAAGAAAGAGCGATTTCAGAAAACGTGTTTCATTTAACTTAAGGAACTAGGTGTTAAAATCTCTTTTTGGCCAGCTGACTAGTTTTGGTTCCTCAGGATTTAATACAGAATATTATTGCTTTGAAAAGAAAATACAAATATTTATTAGATTCATAATTAGAATCTTTTAACGTATTTCTAGCTAGTCTAGTTTATACTGAAGCTAAGATGACTATTGTTTCTCATGGATTGCTTAACCTTTTTTTATTTTTTAGTAAAAATTGTCAGTCATGGAAATACTGAAAGGTTATTACATGTGTAATTTTTGAGTAGGGTACCTAGTATGTACCACATGTGTTAGGCCATTCTCATGTTGCCGTAAAGAAATACCTGAGACTGTATAATTTGTAAAGAAAAGAACCTTAATTGGCTCATGGTTTGCAGGCTGTACAAACATGACACTGGATCTGCTTAGCTTCTAGGGAGGTCTAAGGGAGCTTTTACTCATGGCAGAAGGTGAAGCAGGAGCAGCCAGTTTACATGGCCAGAGTGGGAGCAAGAGGGAGGTGGAAAGGTACCACACACTCTTAAACAACCAGATCTTGTGAGAACTCATTATCATGAGAACAGTACCAAGGACATATGCCAAAGCATTCATGAGAAATTCATCCTTATGATCCAGTTACCTCCCACCAGGCCCCACCTCCAACATTGGGGATTACATTTCAATATGAGATTTGGCAGGGGACACACCTAAACTATATCAGCATATAAAACTTGGCATTAGAATCCTAAGTTTTTCTTAAAGGCACATATTGTCAGCAATAAAGGAACTAATATTAAAACTGCAGTTAGGTTAAAAATAAAACAATATAATTAGAAATGCAAAATAGGAAAGATTTGTACTAAAATGAGTATGAAAATAATCCATTGTTTTAAAATACAAATAATATTTAATTATTTATCATGATACTCAAATGAGGCCAAAGCTGTTTTTCCCACAGGATGTGGGACTTGAAATAATTAATGATAGTTGAAAATTTTATTTCAAGAAATGAGATATTGATACTAAATATAATCAAGATTAGAGCTTGATGGATTAATTTTATCTCTATGGCACTTTGTAATTGTATAAATTATGCATATTCTTTTCCATGTTCCTTAAAATAATAGCATCTTTCAGTTAAAAATTTGGCCTGACAATTCAGAGATACAGAGCCTAATCCAATATCCACCACTGCTTATGGGCCCCTGAGGAATCTCTTAACTCTTCTGAGTCCTAGTTTTGTAATTTGTGAAGACACTATAAAATAACAAAGAAGGCAAAATAATAAGTGATCTACATTTACCATTTTTCACTTTCATAACATTGTATTCAAACAATTGTAAATATTTGTTTCTTGAAAAAATTTTTATAATGGCATTGTATTTGGGAAAGACAGCTGATTCTCGATTCACATTAGCAAGCCTTCCCAGGCTTGTTGGATCACAGAATCCTGTTTTTCAGGAAGTAAGAACATCTTTAGGGAGCCTAATTCCATGGAATGCAGTTTGGAAAATGCTAGCCTATAGAATTTAATGCAAATACTCAAAAATTTCTCAATTTGTGATTGTAATTCCACTGTATCCTTAATGAAGAAATCAGGGATTCTCAGGATGAAGTTGAAGGAAGTGATGATAAAATTGACTCTTTTGAAGATTTGTGAGAAGAATAGATGTTTTGTGGGGGCTAGGACTAGTGATTTTTCCTTCAAGTAAAAAGACACATTTGCTCCCTTTCTTTTTAACTTTTTGTGTATTTTGTTAAATATTAATTTTTAAAGATTTTTTGTCTTTATCCTAAAGAAGATACTAATCCCAAGAGAAGTGGGAGAATTGTAAATTCTTTCTAACCAATTTTTAGGAAATGTTTTCAAATTTTAAGATGCAAAAATTCATATTCAAGCTTTTTTCATTCTCTAATATCCAAAGTTCTTTAAAAAAAGGAAATTCAAATTTGTAGATTAAAAGTATTATATAAACTGTTGTTGAAAGAGAAAAGAGGTCAGTATTCTTTGACAAAAAACTTATTACAGCTAAATTGACTTTTTCCCAAGTAAAGTAAACTTTGAATGATATTTTCTCCTAGATTCTTATAAATAGATTATTTGATGTTCCACATGATCCGTATGTCAAAATTACTGATTCCTTTTGGCCGCCTTATGTTGAGCTGATTCTGCGTAATGGAATTGCCTTGAGACATCCAGAAGATCCAACCCGAATAAGATTAGAAGCTTTCCATCAGTAAAGGGATGTTTTCTTTTTTCACACAGTAAAAAATCTTAACATTCAAGTATATTGGAACCACAGGACTATTTGGATAAAAAACATTATTTGCAAATTAATTCACATAGTCCATCTTCCTTTTATTGTTAAGTGACATACGCTGCCATCTGTTATTCACTTTTACATTGTCCTTTCTTATTCAGTCAGTGCTTTGGCGTTTTAAATTATATGGATAAGAATGCAGGTAGATATTGTTCTAGACATAAAACATTTAATATACCTTATGCAATATTCTTTAGAAAATTATTTGTTAATTTATAATATTGCCAATATTTTCTTAAGAAGTATAATAATACCTTTTATGCATTTTAAGTTCCAATTGGTGCTTCTTTATATTTAGAAATTATAATGGGAAGGTCATTTAATTTGCAGATTTTTTTTTTTTTTTT